AGAGAGAGAGAGTGGGGTGTGTGTGTGTGGCCAGCTCAGCCCACCAGGGGGCGGGGCTGGCTGGCATGTGGTGCTGGGGGATCGAACCGCGGTCCCTGATGCTTTGCTAAGCTTGTTCTAAATAGGTGCTTTAGACCACTGAGCCATCTCTCCAGCCCCTGACTTTGAACTCAGTTATCTTCTTGCCTCAACCTCCCAAGTGCTGGGATTACAGGCATGCAGCATCATGCCTGGAAGTTGGCTTAAACTTAAAGGTTTTATTTAACATTTTGTTGAATGTTTATGGAAGGAAAAGCCCAAGAAGAGAAACACTAATTTGTTTGTTTGTTTTGAGGCAGGATCTCACCATATCTTACCATGTAGGTTAGGCTGACTTTGAACTCACTTAGGCAGCCCAAGCTGGCCTTGAATTTGCAGCAGCCCTCCTGTCTCAGCCTCTCACATGCTGGGATCACAGGCATGTGCCACTATGCCCCGTTTATAATTTCTTTATCAATGTTGTTAAAACTTCATTTATTTTCAACTCTGATCAAAGCTTTAATAAAGATCAGTCAGTCATTCTAGACTTCAGCAAAATATTTCTTGCCTAGAGTTGTCATTATAATTAAAATTTTTCCTTTCTTCCTTGGATGCCAAAAACACTAGGAAATGAATTTTAGTCATTTTGTCAGGAATTTGTGTGGGGGTATGTATATAGTTAGTAAATATATAGTTGATATTCTGTGTATCAAATATATGTATATGTATAAAAATGCAAATTTTTTTGTAACTCAATGTAATATCTACAGTGGTAGTTAAACCAAATCAGATTTCCCCATAAGGGGCCCACCAGATAGTTCAGCGGACTAAAGCGCCTGCTTAGGCAGAATACAGAGGCTGGGGCTCCATCCCCTGCATGCCATGTGGGGCCCGGCCCTGGTGTGCACTGAGATGTTGATTGCGACTGGGCGTGATGGCACAAGCCTGTAATCCCAGCGGTTAGGAGGCTGAAAACAGGAGGATCACTGTAAGTCTGATCTACGTAGTGAGTCCCTGTACACCCTGTAGACTCTGTCTTAAATTCCATTAAAAAAAAAAAAAAGAAAAGAAAGAAAAATATTTCCCCATAAGGTCAACTTGAATTTGATTTGGTTCTTGCAACCCAAATCATGGCACCAGTTAATTTTATGACCTGAGATATCACTGTATTTTGAACCCTTATTATTCTACTGGGTTATAGAAACTAAATTTCAGTGAACTTAGGGTGTTTTTTTTTTTTATCCTCTTTCCTCTTGGGTTATATGCAAGGTAATGATGTGCCGGTAATGGTAATAAGTGGTGGCATGAGTCTCACCATAGGCACTGCTGCCTAAGATCTTTTCATGTGAACCCAATTTTTGGCAGGTTTGTGCATCTTTGCTGCTGCAGTCCCTGTGACCCTTTGGAGGTCACTAGCTCTGTCGTGTGCATGTTGCACTAAGCTCATGGGCTATCATTCTGTATTACGCATGTTCATTTAGATGTTGGAGAGCTTTGTGGAGTGGTACAGTTCTGTCTGCTTTAAAACTCATCTTGCAGAAGTCTTATTGCTTCATTGTAGTACCCTACACAGAAAAATTTTATTTCTGCCTCTCCAGGATACAAGAGTTCAGGAAATACTGAAGAGTTCAGATGCAATCACATCTTTAAGTCTACTTTGAGCTATCTTGTTAATTTGTTAGCCTTTTGCTAGAAGAACTCAACTTAAATGAAACTTAATGTGGGATACTTTCTTCTGAACCTTATGTATTTCCAAGTTTATTTGGTTTACAATACAAGAAATCACGGTACGTGTAGTATTCCAAGTGTTTAGTCTTGAACTCTAATTTCAGCTTTTGAAATTCTGTGCTGGCACTGAATATTTTTCTGTGTACTACTAGAACGTACCATCTGGATACAAAGACTGCAACTCACTAAAAAGAAGGTGATATTTTAAAGTATTTTCCCACCACAGATATAAATACATAGAAAAACAATTTTTCAATCATTTTTCTTTTTAATATATTGGGTATTAAATGCAGTGTTTAATACAGTTGATGTGCCAGTCCATTGCCACATTATAAAGTTTTTTTTATAATATATCAAGCCTTATTTCTACATTCCTCATCATGATCAGTCAGAAAGAACTCTGACTATTGATTTATCATAACATCAACAACGTGGGGTTAAACTTTCCATGATCAGGCAAAAAGGGAATCTGAGGAGGCCAGTTTTTCTGTTCCACTAACATTGATTTTAAAAATGATCTTGTGGTTGTCAGATCCAGGTATTATTATCAAGGACTTTCTTTCATTTCAACAAAGAAGTAGTAAAAATTCTAGATTGTTTGAAAGTTTTTCTTATTTCCCCTTCTACTCTTTAGGTGTTCCCAGAAGTTAACTCCTGGTAAAATACCAGCAAGTGACCCTGACTCTGGTGTTGAAGATGAAGACTTTTCTCCAAGACCAGTTCCTAGTCCTCATCCAGTGAGTCAGAAGGTATCGCTGACCTTATAATGAACTCACCTTTGTGGTTAGAGACCCGAAAGTCTCTTCATGTTAAAGTACTGAACAGTACCTAGAACTTGTTTAAGCATTGTTCTAGCTCCCTGTATCTATTTGGCTTTATCTCTATGTAAATGTATATGAGGTATGATTTTTTTTTTTTAAAGTCATTAATTTTTCTTACCGTTATATGTTTACTGTAGAAATGACATTAAGGCCAACTTTTTTTTTAAAGCATTTATTTGTGTGTGTGTGTGTGTGTGGCCAGCTCAGCCCACCAGGGGGCAGGGCTGGCTGGCATGTGGTGCTGGGGGATTGAACCGCGGTCACTAAGCTTGTTCTAAGTAGGTGCTTTAGACCACTGAGCCATCTCACCAGCCCCTATGAGGTATGATTGAAAAGCAGCCAATGTTTAAAATTTTATTACAGTAAAAACCACATTGCCAATGTTCCCCCTCACTTCACACAGGCTTATACCATCATTTTTTGCCACTTTATTTTGGGGCAGGGGCGACTGGATCTTGCTCTGCAGCTCAGGGTTGCCTTGAGCTCACTGTATAGTCCAGGCTAGCTTCAAAGTCATGGAGATCCTCCTGCCTCAGTCTCCCTAGTGCTGGGATTATGGGCATGCACCAACACACTCATCTGTTCTCACCCCTTTCTAAAGCAGTTCAGGAAGTCTGCTTTTATGTCTCTTTAGGTGTGTTGTTGTGGTTACCTTGATGTTCTGAATTGATTCACAGTGTTAACCTTTCATGGCCATTTTCACTTTGGAAAAGAACTAAAATTCCAATAGTGAAAGATGCTTTAAATAACATGGATGAGGACATACTATTGTGTTTTTATAAAGACCCACCTTTACCATATTTTTGATCATACCTCATGAAGTCATAAAGAATACGTCCTGAATCATTTCAGAAAGTGGCAGTGGGCTAGAATAAGTATGTTCAAACCAAAAGGGAGCAGGGAATATTTTCAAGGGAGGTTAATAGCAATACGTAATAAATTTTTATTTAAATATCACCATATATTTTGATCACACTTTGTATACTTTACAAATGCGTACCATTACTATTATATGTAATACATATTCACATATGTATAATATTATATGCATAATAAGTACATGTACTTACTCCCAGAAAAAAATCTGTGGCATAGATTGGTTAAGATACCTGCCCAAGATCTCAAACTGTATAGTAAAGCTGGCATTCTAATTCAGGAAGTTTGATTTTAGAATTAGAGCTTGCCAAAACTGTATAAACCCAGCAATCTATACAATCACCAAAATTTGACCTTGGTTTTTGTTACTATATTCAGAGAAAACTTTCTGTTTGCGTTCAGAAGTCAGTTACTAATAACCTGTCATAATTTTTTTATTGCTTCCAGCTAGCGGGCTATTTTAGAATTGTCGTTTACCTTAATTGGACTAGCTATTTACATTAGAAGAAAAAGGAATAGGAAAGATTCCTTAAAATTTATATTAAGGTATAACAAATTCACCATAAGCATTTTGACTTTATTCTCTTCCATCTCTTAAGTGATTTCAATAGAAATAACAGAGTAACTTCACTTAGTAACAAAATATTTTAAAATATTCATTGGAGAGGTGAAGCCACTGCCTGTGATAATTCTTTTTTAGGAGTGAAGGTAAAAACTGTTTTCTGAAACGTTTTCCCCATCTGTAATCTAAGCAGTGTTCATCAGTTATCCAATAGAGGGAGTTCTGTTATTAAAGAAGTTTGGGAGGTGTTTACCTTTTTTCTCTGAGGACAAGACCTTCTTTATTTTTTTCACAGTTGTACTTTTATAGATGATCATATAAGATGCCCAGAAAATATGTTGATAGTCTCATAATGAACAATTTAAAATTCATAATTGAATATTACGTTGGAAATACTGGTTTAAGGAAAGCAAAGCATATCTTTCTCCTAAAAGTTTCTTCTTACTTATTTATAGATTTCTAAGATCCAGCCATCAGTTCCTGAACTTTCACTTGTATTTGATAGCAATTTCAAAGAATCCAATCATCTGTCTAATACATTGGCTTTGATGAATACTGAAATTCCTCCATTGATCAACCATTCTGAGCACTTGAAGCCCTTCCAGCCTGATCTTCATGATGAGAAACACAACCCAGAAGCTGAAGCTGGAGACCCTTTGAAAATGATACCCAATCAATTAACCCAGAGTACTGCTCCTTTGAAGCTTTGTAAAGTAAAACAGCCATCTTCCTGTTCCCATCTTGAAAACAACGTTGTTAAACCATCTCCTCCTAATGTGCTACCTCCTGATGTATCTGAGAAGCTTCAAGTACTTGTTCATGGCAATGTACAAAAAGAAGAGTATCCTCAAAGACCCTCCACATTTAATTCTAGGCAGTCTTCTCTTGTTTCACAGTCCCACCCACATAATTTTGTCTTTTCGTCCCATCATTCAGGAAGATCAGGGGAACTTGAGATACCTCCTCCATTACTACCACCTTATTATTCCGCAAATGTTTGTACCTGTTGTCAGCATTATGGTCATATTCAGTATAGTCCCATAAATTCTTGGAAAGGAATAAATACGGTAGGGTCCATTCAAGATCTCCAAAGTGACGCACTTCAGAAGCATTCATTACTTCACCCAAATGGATGTCCAGCTCTGTACCATAATGCATTCTATTCTTCAAGTAGTCCTGTAGCCTTGAGACCTCAAGGAGGCATGGATAGTTGTCCTTCCCATAGCAGTACAAAACCATCACCTGTGGCATGGCCTTCACCTCTGGACTCATGTAACCCACAGCCTTGTGTATTGTGCACCCACACTCCCACACCTGGGTCAGATAATGGAATGATGGGATTATCTCCAGATGCATATCGATTTGTCACAGAGCAAGACAGACAGCTGAGACTACTTCAGGCACAGGTTTGTTTGGAACTTTCATAGTTTTACTAAATGTTTGGTATTAATAGGGTTTCTGAAGACCTGAGAATTTACCAGCCATGTTGGCATGTGTGTGTAATCCCAGCACTCTGGGAAGCTGTGGCAGGAGGATCATGAGTTTAAACCCAGCGTGGTAATCTTAGCTACTTAAAGACTGTGTCTCAAAATAAAATCTGAAAAAAATAGAACTGGAGATGTAGCTCAGTCCAAAAGCCCTGGAATCAGTGCTCAGTACCAAAACAAAAACTGGAAACTCACTCTTTCTTTCTTTCTTTCTTTCTTTCTTTCTTTCTTTCATTCATTCATTCATTCATTTATTTATTTATTTATTTTGTGTGTAGCCAGCTCAGCCCACCAGGGGGCGGGTGGGCTGGCATGTGGTGCTGGGGGATTGAACCGAGGTCCCTGTGCTTTGCTTGGCTTAGCTTGTTCTAAGTAGGTGCTTTAGACCACTGAGCCATCTCACCAGCCCTGGAAACTCTTTATCAACTACATTTCATAGAAAAAAATTGAAAACTAGAAAGAAAAAACCTTAGAATCTGAATTTTAGGTTTGTTTTATAGATGAGTGTAATGTGAACTAGAGAGAATTTAGCTGAATGCTACATTGCTAGTTAATAGTAGAACCAGTATTAGAAACCAAGCCTTCTCTTTTATATATCCTAACCCAGCAATGGTGATCTTTTAGAGCATTCAGTGATACAAACAGCCTGCTGTGGCATGTAAGCCATAGGCTTACCACTGCTGTGATCTAACCTATAGCGTAATTACATTTTTCTTTCATTTTCTGTCTCTAATGAAGACTTTATATTTCAGTAAGTTTTTATATGCAGCTAAATGTTAAAGCCTTCTATTTAACTAGATATAAAGGCTGGCATATCTCTAGTTTGCCAATCCTTTCATATACTAACCCTAGCCAGTCTACATTAAGGGAGTGAGTCAGTAACAATGTATATCTGTATTGGATTTATTCCACTCACTTCATTCTGAAATGTTCCCTTCAGGGCTTTATTGCAGAGTTCTTAGTCTTTTAATTATATCCTTGAACAGTTTAGACTACAAATATTGTGGGTTTTTTCCCCCTAATTAACATCTTTCCTCCACATATGTACCACAAATTATCCCTCCCTTTATACTCAGTATCAATGGGAACAACCAGAAATGTTCATATTTTTCCATTATATTTTATCTATACAAATATATTATTATATGCATAATGTGCTATTTAAAATTTTTTGTTTATAAAATTGAAAGATGGTGTTTGCATGTTGCAAAAAAAAATTCAAATTGTGATTTAAAATGCTCTGAGGGCCAGCCATATAGCTCAGCAGACTAAAGCACCTGCTTAGGCAGAGTGCATTGGCCATGGCTCAATCCCCAGTGTGCAGTGCCTTGCGGTGCCAGACCTGCCCCCAGGGCACACTGAGATGGAGGTTGAGACTGGGCATGGTGGCACACACCTGTAATCCTAGCACTTGGGAGGCTGAAAACAGGAGGATCACTAGGAGTCTGATCTTTGTAATGAGACCTTATAGACCCTATACTAAATACATACATTGAATAGGAACACATGAAAACAACTAAGCATTTAAACCTAAGTAAATCCCTGAAATTTTTTGATACATTATTATAAACACAAAAATGTAAGGTAGTTAAATTGAAAGACATTGAAAAGTCTTGATCATCTATTTCCTGTCTTGTTAAAAAAAAAAAAAAAAAAAAACAGTAAACGCTAATACGATCCTTTACGCTATTTAGGAAATCTTATTACTTGAGGTTTAATGTTTAAAATGTAACATAGACTGGGTTTTCATCTATCTGAATTATACAAAATATACAGAAAATCTTCTATAGTAAATATACAGTGTTTTCCTCATTCATAAACTTTTAGTTCTTCAGACAGTGTTTTACTGTGTACTTCAGGCTTAACTTAAATTCACAGGGCCCACCAGATAGTTCAGCGGACTAAAGTGCCTTCTTAGGCAGAGCACAGCGGTTGGAGTTCCATCCCCAGTGTGCTGTGCTGGGCCCATTCCCGGGGCGCACTGAGACAGCAGTTGAGACTGGGCATGGTGGTGCATGCCTAAGGCTGAAAACAGGAGGATCACTACCAGTCTGATGTGTGTAGTAAGCCTGTGTTGGTGGTATAGTGGTGAGCATAGCTGCCTTCTGATCTGTGTAATGAGATGCTGTAGACCCTGCCCTAAATACATAAAAAATAATAATAATAAATTTAGGAATTCCACACCAACTTCAAACTTGGGGTGATCCTAGATCAGCCTCCTGAGTGCTCAGCCGTGAACTTTTTTTAAAAATACTTTTATTTTATTAGGTCATATAAGAACTCCCTTTATTATTCTGCATAGAATTCTGTTGTAATTATGTAGTTTTTGTAACTCTTCTCTTGTTATGTCAGTTTGAAGTTTCTTTTATTGCAAACGTGCAGCAATATGTATCCTAATGCATCCCACTGTGTGTGTTAGCATCTCTACAATAAAACTGAAGTCAAAAGGAGTGTACATTTTAAAAGTTCAAAATACCCAAATTTACACCTCTGTCAGTATTCCAAGTTTCATTTTGTTGCAGTGGTTAAAGGACTGGGCTCTGGTACTAGATTTCTTGAATTCTAATTCAGTTTCTCTGTAATATATATTATGCAACTATGGATAAGTAGCCTTATCTCCCAGGCTGCTTTCTTATATATGTCATAGGGTTATATATAAATCTTACACAATGTTTTAGAATTGAATGAATTTATAGGGGCTTAGAATAGTACCTGGTGTATAGTTAGTACTTGATTAATGTTAACCAGTATTATAGTGCCTTATCATTATTTTCTTAGTTAATGATACCACCTGACATCAAGTTACTTGGGCCTAATTTAAAAAAAAAAAAAAAAAAACAACCTTGATTTTTTTTGGGGGGTGGGAGTTATAGCTCGGTGGTAAAGCTATTTCTTACCATGTGTGAGGACCTGGGTTCAATCCCCACCACTGAGGCACTGAGATGGGGAAGAAAGCCCTATGTTCTACTTTGTACATATATTCTGAACTTAATTGCTGTTCACTATCTTTCATACTGCCACGCTGATTCACATGTTCATCTAATTATACCCATACATGCTGCTTTCCAGTACTGTCCTCTCATGCTTCCCACAATTAGAAATAGCACAGTCATCTTTTAAAAGCACAGATCAGAGCTGGGGAGATAGCTCAGCAGCATAAGTACCTGCCTGACAAGCAAGAAGTCCCAAGTTCAATCCTCAGTACTGCAAAAATAAAATAAAAGATAAATGAATAAAAATAAAAGCACAGATCAGATCACAGTGCTCCTTAAAATCTGCTAATGGTTGTCCATTATTACTGGAATAAAATCCAAATTCCTCACTTTAGCCTCAAAGCCTTTTATATTTGGGGTGTTTTTTGTTTTGTTTTGTTTTAGGGGTTTTTTTGTTTTGTTTTTGTTTTTTCTCGGAACCGGGGATTGAACTCAGGCCCTTGCATTTGCCAGGTAAGTGCTTATTCTACTGAGCTAGCTCCCCGGCCCCAGTTTTGTTGTTTTTTGAGGCAGTCTCACTGTATAGCTCAGGCTGAACTCATTGTGTAGCCCTGGCTCATCTTGTACTTGTGGTGATCCTCCTAATTCAGCCTCTCAGTGCTGAGATCACAAGCATGTGCTACCTTGCCCTGCTTGTTTTTATTTGTGGACAGGGGATTGCACTCCAGAGCTTTGCATTTAGCTACATTCTCAGCCCTTTTTATTTTAAGACCTGATCTCATTAAATTGCCTGGTCTAGAATGAAATTTGTGATCCTCTTGCCTCATCATCTAGGTGCTGGTCTTACAGATATGTGCCACCACACCAAGCTCAAAGGCCTTTGTGGTTCAGCTGTCTCCCTTTGTCCACTCTTATCACCACCTTCTATGTTCAGTGCAGCCACTGTGGTATGCTTTTTGTTCTTCAAATATAAAATACATGCTTATACTTAGTTCATAAGTTTTCAGTTCCCTTTGGCTGAAACACTCCTCTTCTGGTTCTTGTTATGGCCACAGTAGAAGAAAATACATTTTTATATATAGCATACTGGCTAATTTTAGGCCCTAAAAATTATTGAGTGATGCTTATGTGATCTTTCTAAACTTCACTCTTCTATAAAATAAGAGAGATCCTGGCAAGCACAAGGGCCTGAGTTCAATCCCCGGTTCTGCCTAAATAAATAAATAAAATGAGAGATGATCTGTATATTTATAAATTGAGGGCTGAGGATATAGTTCAGTGGTACAGCACCTACCTGGCAAGTGCAAAGTCCTCAGTTCAAGTCCCCGTACCAAATAAATTAATTAATTAAAATATAAAATAAGAATTTATACAGAGCATGGTGTTTTATGCCTGTAATGAACACTCTGCGAAGCTGAGGCAGAAGGACTGTTAATTTGAGTCTCGCCTGAAAAATTTAGTGAGATTTTTGTCTCAAAAAAATTAAAGGGGTAGGGATACAGCTCAGTGTGAAGACTCTGAGTTCAATCCCTAGTACCACTAAAGGAAAGAAAAGGTTAAGTGAGTTTTTTATAAGGAGCTTAGTTTAAAAAAAAAAAAAAAAAGTTTAGGGTAGGACTTGGCTTTAGCAAGCACCCAGCAAGTTAGAATTTATTCATCGCCCCCCCCCTTTTTTTTTCTCCAGACTTGTGATTCTCTTGTTTTCAGCCTCCTAAGTGCTGGGATTATAGGCGTGTGCCACCACACCCAGTCTCAATTGATGTCTCAGCTTGCCCTGGGACAGGGCCAACAGACATGCAGGAGATCAAATCCCAGCCACTATGCTGTGCCTAAACAGGTGCTTTGGGCTGTTGAGCTATCTGGCTGGCCATCATCTCTTTTAATAATTCACAACAACATTAGTTTTTGAGGGTTTTTTTTCCTATATTTTTTTAGAGAAGGGTCTACAGGATGTTCATGGTCTTACTACTAGATTGGACTCTTAGTGATCTGCCTGTTTACAGCCTCCCAAGAGCTGAGATTACAGGCGTGCACCACCACGCCCAGTCTCAACAACATTAGTTTTAGGTGATATTGAAACTCATAGGGATTATGTATTTGGTACAGGGTCTCTCCATGCAGCTCAGACTCAACTCCTCCTGTTTTTAGCCTCCCCAGCACTGGGATTACAGCCTGCATTACCACACTACACCCTTCTCTGTAGCTAGTTCAGCATGCCCATGGGCAGGGCCCAAGAAGCCTGTGGTGCTGGGGATTAAACCCAGTCCCTGCGCTTACCTACACAGGCACTTAGTCTGCTTAGCTATCTTGCTGGCCCTACTCATACGAATTAAATTAAATAACTTGGGGCCAGGGAGATGGCTCAGTAGAATAAGTGTTTCCCTGGCAAGCGCAAGAGCCTGAGTTGAATCCCTGGTTCCGCACCACAAAAAAAAAAAAAAAAAAAAAATTGAATAACTTATTCAAAAGGTAGCAAAATAGGTTTTTTGTTTGTTCATTTTTGTTTTTTGAGACAGTCTCTATGTAGTTCAGGCTTTGAACTCAGTACATAGCCCATGCTGGCCTTGAATTTTCAGCAGTCCTGCCTCAGCCTCCCAAGTACTGAGATTATAGGTGTGCACCACACCCAGTTTAGCAGAATAGGATCTAAGCTTATATATGCATGATGCTAGTGTTTATGCTCCAAATCACTATACATCCGTATATCATTTTATATTATTGATTCAATGTCTGTTTCTAATCTTATTGATAATGCTTATATCAATAAGGTTAACCCTCTAAAATTAATATTGGTTAGGTATAGTAATACTTTTTTTTTTTTTTTTTTTTTTTTTTTGCGGAACCGGGG